GGGGTGTGTGGAGTGGCAAGAGCTGTGCCCCCTGGGCAACCTACTTGTGGCTTCGTTCCACACCCTGCCGTGCCTCAGCTGAGCAGCCTCAGCTCCAGTCCCGCCCTCACCATGGGGGGGGGGCCTGAATCTGCTCCCCCCCCATGCCCCTTCCCTTCCTCCATAGCAGACTTGCCGGCCTGATGCTGCTTTCCAAGCTGCCCAGCTGTGAATCAGAATTGGCTCTGTATGGGGCCATATGGCTCCTCAAAAATCGGTCATCGGTATCGGCCCAAAAAATCTCTATAGGTGGACCCCTAATATTTATCTATCTAAACTGTACAGTACAAGCACTACTTTATGACTTCCAATTTCTTAGGTAATTAATAAGGGAACATTTACAAATAAAAAGCAAGCAGTGACAAATAATCACTTTATTTTTGTGTTTTAGTACTGCTTGGCAGCCAGCACCCTCCCCGTTCAAATCAGCTTAATTTTGGGGTAGTCACTTTCACTACCTAGTCCTCAGTACTACAGTGTTTAGGGCTTAAAGGGGTGCTAGTTGACTTAAAAAAAAAAAAAAAGGCCAGCAGACTTTTCTGGTGTGGCATCATAAGAGACAGTGTGCCACACTTCCTGGACACTGTTTCTGGGAGGATGGCACTCTGTCACATAAAGTTAGGCCCCCAGACTCTTGCAAAGGGCAGTGGTAAGACTGCTACTACTTTTCTGTAAGTCATTTTTCATAAAGGTTCCTGTAAACTGTTGTTTCCACATCACAAACCTCATCAAGGTATTACCACTAACTCCCTGGCTGCTTTGGGCACAAGCTACAGTGCTCACCGAAAAACTGTGACTGAGAGTTAACACAGGACTCTGCCCCTTGGGTTTGCTGAGCAGACACAAATGGCCTACACAGCGTGCATTGTGCCTCCAGGAATGCTCCTTTTCTAGCGAAGCAACCTGCTTTCTTGCTTAAAATGCACACTTCAACGTTGGGTGGCTGACTTGTGAGGGAAAGGTGCATGTTATGTGGTAAACGGTGTTCCCTCTCTCCTCTGTCTTTGGATTTCATGAGTGCCTTTTCTCTTGTCTCTTCCTCAGCTTTTATTTATGCATATGGTTTGGTTTTTTCCTGCCTTGTGTGCAGTTCTTCCTCATTAAAGATGGCTGCAAACTCTTAAGTGTAGCTTCTAGATAACTCTACTCCTTCCACTTTGCTCATTCTCCTCTTCCTTGTTCTGGTATTTCTCAGGATTCCTTTGTTAAAAAAATATCATCCCAAACATTGTCCCCCCATAAACTGATTATCTAAATAATATAAAGACAAGTAAAAAGAGGCCAGGAGATTCAAAGCTTATTTGTTTGGTTGCTCTGTTTATCATAGTTTCAAGTAATTTAAACATGTTTGCTACGTGATCTCTGTCTCTGTCACGTGTTAGATGTGCCTTTTTGGCTAATGTCCAGTGTGATGGCACTTTACTGGCTAATAAAGTCCTGGCTAAGCTCTCTATCTTGCTTTACAGGAGCTACTTGTTGTAACAGTCTCTTCCATTTCCCTTTTCTCCGATAATCTTGTATCGGCTATAGTTACAGAGCCATTATAGTGCTAGGCAAACAGCTGTGCATGTGGTGGTCTTTTGTTAGAGAAAGTAGTAATTATGCATTCAGAGCAAAGCACAGTCACTTTGTAGTGTACAGTATTGGTTCAGAATTGTACTTATCCAAGACACTAGAACTGTGAGTTGAGAGAATTCTGTTGGATCAGACATAATGTATTTTTCCCCCCTGAATGTGTACCCTTTGAAACAAATGCTGTTGTTGGGATATTTTAACAAAAAAGATCATAACATTAATAGTAATACTTTTACTGTTGACATTTTGATCCCTCCCACTAAAATCATGGAATTGTGCTATTCCCTTTATTAGGATAAAGACTGTCCTATTTCTCTTTCCTTCCTGAAGGCTTTTGACAGGCACTAATGTACCCATCAGTAACTACTCAACTGTTGTAAAACCCAGTGACCTTTCTGTCCAACATTGCTACATAGATCTTTTAGAATAGGAAGCAAATACAAACTTGACTAAGACTTTGGGGAGAACATGTGTAGGCAGGAGCTAGAGTTTAACTAGAACACCCATGTTCAAGGGTGTTGCTACTGGAAGTATTTATGAGTCTTAAAACGGGTTACCAAAAGTTACTCGTTAGATTGCAGTGTAATGTAGCTGTGCGAGACTAGATATTATCCAGCATTCACATTTTTAACAGTAGTGTGCTAGCTGCTTCACATACAAACATATGGGCAAGGGTATTGTGCTAAGTTCAGTCTTAGAGTTTATACAGGTATTATCTCCACCTTGCTCAGAGAGAACAGCCAACAAAATAATGGACTAAGTCAGGAACAGGATCCTGGAATGGATTAAAGTAGAAGCTAATTAAGTTTGTCAGTCTCCTGATTTATTTATTTATTTATTTATTTTTGTTTCAGCCAGTGCTCTTTGTCTTCATTTTTACAGTGATCACGTGCCAGAAACATGGCTACAGACTGGCTTGGAAGCATTGTGTCAATTAACTGTGGAGAAAGCCTGGGAGTCTATCAAGGACGAGTGTCAGCTGTGGATCAGGTCAGCCAGACCATTTCCCTGACCCGGCCTTTCCATAATGGGGTCAAGTGCCTCGTGCCAGAGGTCACCTTCAGGTTAGTGTCCTTCTCCTCTGCTGCTTTCAAATCAGCTTTCCATTTGGCCAGAGTCAAGCTTTTTTGCTTCCAGCCTTGTTATAATTAATGATTACTGTGAATAATGAGTACCTCCTCTGTTTCTGCTAGCCTGTAGATGGAGTGCAAAAGAGCTCCTATTCTGACTTTGTGATTTCTGGGTTCTAGTGTAAATGCAAGTGCAGATCACAGTTGGAGCAGGCTTGTAGGAGCCATGAAAATGGGTGCTTTATCTATTATTCAGCTTGTGGTTACATCAGACTTAAGCTTTTTTGTCAATAGGAAGTTTAATATTTCCTTTTTAAAATTATGACAATGGAGCATTGGATTACTTTAAACTTGCTCAAAAATAAATCCATTCTATGGTTCCAACTCCATGTTTATCTTTTCGGTCTCTTATCTTCTGCTACTTCCCTTCCTCCATCTAGGTAGCTCTTGGGGTACGTCTTGCAGAATCTGTTTTCTTCAGCACAAGCCTTGTTCTTTATTTCTGAATTCAATCAGTACAGCTTGTGGAGGTATGCCAACAGCATCCCAAATGAACAAGTGAACTGCTATCTTGAAATAACTGCACAAGAACAACAGTATCTTCTGCACTCCAAATCATATTTATGTTTCTGAAGAATAAAAATAATTAGCTCCCACTTCCCGCCTCCTGTTATCTCTGTAAATTGCAGGATTAAATGATCATCTGATAATTTTGTACCCCAGTAGAATTAATTAGTTGATTGTGAATCTTTATTATTCTGCACAACCCTATAGTCAAAGACAGTGTCTTTTAACGACTCCTTCCAGTCATGCTAGTTAGCAACTTATACTTGCTCCTTGATTATATGTACCTGGGGTGAATTTCCAATCCTGCATTGGTGTTCTGGCGTTTAAAAGAGCTTGCATGTGCCATTCTTCTTGCATGTGTTTGAAATATGTGGGGTTTGCCCTCAATAAAAGCAGACTAAATAAGGTAGTAACATGAAACATAAGATTAAATATAGCATGGTTATCATTTCACAATCTGTTTGAATCAAGCTGATTTCTGCCAAGCCATCTGCTACTTATTGCAGTGAGTCAGAAGCATGATTTTTTGTTTTGGAATAACCATCCTGAATTTGTGCAGAGGTTTGGACTAGATGATCTTTCAGGTCCCTTCCAGCCCAATTGATTCTATTTAGGAACAGAACCAATGAGGTAAACTTTTGGAAGTTTTCTGTCTTAACTTTGTTTTCCCTTGCTCGTAAATAGGCATGGAACCAGCAAGATAATACCCGCTTCCCTTCTTTGAAGAACCAGAATTGTTTTTGTTGAAGTAACCTCAAAGTATGTGTTCTTGGAGTATGGAAGTTGATTTTAATGTTGTCTTTTTTCTGACGATAATGCAGAGATTAACATGCACATATATACATACACACTCTTCCTTGAAGAGCTTAATTTTTACAGAACTGGATGGCAGTACTAAATCCCATATCGTTATGGTCTCTCTCTCTTCCTATGTTCAGGGCAGGTGATATTACAGAGCTAAAGATTCTGGAGATTCCAGGTCCTGGAGAGATCAGGCAGTATGGGGATCTGCAGCAGACTGAACTGGGTATCCCTGGAGTTGGATGCCAAGTGAGTACCAATCAGAATGGCACTGGCAAAATGCTGAAGAAGCCCGCTGCTTCCAGCAGTGCCCCACAGAACATCCCAAGGAGAACAGACATGAAGAATCAGGATGTCGTCATCTCCCCACAACAGCAGCAGTGCTCCAAAAGCTACATGGACCGACATGTGGAATCCTTGAATCAGTCCAAAGGCTTCCGTCGGAGACATAACTCCTGTGAGTATATTGACCAGCCTGTAGCTTTCACTGCTCCTTAGCCTGGGCTGTCAGCCTGGTTCCAAGTTACTGCTGCATCATCCACCCCTTTTAAGCAGATAACTAACATGCCAATTATACTGGTGATGGAAATAATATTCTTTTTCCCTGCCAACACTTGGGAAAGTGATACGAGCTATGGTGTCTCTTAATATGTGGGAAGCGTGCATCTTAAACCTGCCTGCTACTTTTTCTTTAAATTTTGATGTGATTTAGTGGTGGCTTTTAGCTGTACTAAGAGGAGTGATGGATGACATCATTAGCACTCTTGATTCTTGCGAGTCTACTCAAAAGCCAGATGTATTCTTACATGTTTTGCTGAATAAGGGCTTGAATGGTACCTGTGGCTATTAATGTTTACACGTGGCAAGTAACAGCATAACTCTTCAGGCATCCTAGTTAGTTCAAATCCCATTGCTCAGCCAACTTTTATGATGTCATTGAGTGACCTACAGGCTTATTGACATGTGGCTTGTGGGCAGATAACTGCTTTAAAAGTGCACCTGTCCAGGGTGGCCTTCAAAATTGATAGTGGACTGGGTAAGAAGAGGCTGGAGGTGTAACTTTGAGTCGCATGCTTCAGTACAGGACCATTCTTGATGGAGTGGGAGCAGCAAGAACGTGAAATAACAAATGGAAGGCATGGAAAAGGTGTCTTGAGGTTACTGAGGAGATATGATGGTTGTTGGGTGCTCAGGGATTTGGGAGATGCATGGGTTAGGCTTGTGCAGGGGAATATAGATGGAATGGAGAGATCAAGGGAAGATGGAGTGTTGTACAGAATGGGCAGGAGTGCAAAGAGATCATGGAAGGCATAGTCACAACCCAGTGTGCAGGGGGACTGGGGTGGAGAGGCAATAAATTGTCCTTTTTTTTCCAAAATGTTACTTTTTTCCTCTCAACTTATCAAGGTGTAAATCCCCTATCCTTGCATTTCAGCTTGCAGGGGAAGTCCCCATTTGGACCTTGTGAGAGTAAAGGGAGTCAGGCTTTGTCCCACAGCTTTTATGTTCCATCCTGATTTAAAACAGACAGGAAATTCATAAACAGTATCTTTCCTTAATGAGGAGTTAAGGTTCCAAGTAGACTACAGTCGTGTCAAAATAATGACTTAAAAATTATACTCTACAACTTCATTACATCAAATATTTGAAAAATATGGGAACAAATTATTCCAGTCATGGCCTATAATCTGTCTGCGTGTCTCTGTCTTGCCTCGCTTGAGTTTTAAAGTTTTCACCCAACCTTAATTTGGCCTAGTAAAAGTCTACAAAAATAAATGCTAAGAGTCTAGAAATTCTTCTACTGTATTTTCCTTATGCAACTATAACTAAACTGCCCTCCTCCCCAGACATTAATTGTTGTCTCATATTTACTTTATTCCTTTCCACTCCACTCTGTAGGATTACACAAGTATGTAATCAACATATTTCATAGCACCGAGCACCCATTATTCTATTTTTGTTTATAAAAATATTCTACTAGCACTTTATGCTGCGTCAGTGTGCTGCATATTCTCATCACTTGATGTGCCCCAGGTTCTGTGTCGTCCCTCATTTTTATATGTTCCTTAAAGCATCAGTATGCACCCAGAATGTTTCCATTATAGAATGAAACAAGGAGTAAAGTTAAGTTTGAGTTGACAGATCAAAGAGCTTTCCTGCAGAAATATCTGGATATCACAGTTTTCTACAAAAAGTACTTTGTTTGATATCCTTTATTCATTTAACTTCTTGAAACTTTGCACTTTTAGAGAGGTAAAGGCTTGACTCTACTATATACAACCTTGCAGAGAGACAATAGGGCTGATGGGTAGGTAATCGGGTCTGTTCTCTCTCATTTCCATATACTGCTGTTAACAAGGATGTTGTCTCTGGAGACACAAATCCACAGTTTGAGAACTGAAACTAAACATTAATGCAGTACTTAGTCTAGACTCTAGAAGATCCCATTAAGTGCTGAGTGCATTGGGTAAAGTGGTTTTCTTTCATCTTTACTAATTTATAGGGGAGCCTTTGGGAACCCTGTGATTGGGCCTCTAGTATAGTCCATGGCCTGTTGTGACCTATTTATACAACTTTTCTAAAAAAGTTATATGAATATATTGTCTCCAAATGGTATATAATTCGAAGTTTTATAATCCCTATTCTGTGATGTTGTAGCTGAGCTTTAACATATCTTAAATTAAAACTGTATATAGGTTTACTTGTTTAAAAAAAAAAAAAAGCATCTTAAATATGATTAGACCAAAACAAATCTGATTTAAATAAAAAAAATCAGATTTTTTTTTTGTTGTTCTTTAAAAAAAAATATTGGTTTTCTTTTTTCTTTCTGTTTTTGTATTCGCCCTGGACACAGTCCTGGATCCTCTATATTCACTAATTGAATTCAATGTATGATGCCTTATATGATGTATTTTCTTGCAAATATGTCAAAACCCTGTGAACTGCTAACCTCCTGTGGAAATTGGGAACCAGGTTAAAGAACATTTGCCTCACTTTGCTGAGCTGCTCATGATGCTGGTTGCAGGAGACAGTTGAAAGAGGAATATGCTGAGACATTAGCAAGAACTTTCTTTAGGCTACATAACAGCTGGGCTTAAAGCAGCTGCCATTGCCCGTTCAGTGCCCTTTAGCGTGCTAAGTCAGGGCCAGGAGTTTCCCCCTTGATGGTGCTTGTGAGACAGAAATCAATAAACACCAAACAGCTCCGTAGGTTACACAACAGTGGCTTATGTGTGAAACTGGCACCGTGCTTGTTCATGCTAGGGCTGGCAGTAGAAGCTCCCAGAGGGATCTTGCAGGAAGGCAGCCAATTCTCTAGAGACTTTACACTTGCTTGGCTGTTATAAATGAGAGGTAAAAGTCTGGGAAATTTTGTTTATCTTTTTTCAAGGGAGGTGCTATTTTGTGTTATTCTATGTGGGGCGAGCTGCCAAGTTGACATGGTGCCATTATGCTGTTCTCTCTTAATAAGCTGAACACCCAGGCACAGAATACTTAGCTAGTCCTGACTTCCCTAGTGTACTGTGGTGGGAGGAGGGAAGTATGCCTCCCTTTGACACTGGTCTGCATCTAACCCCAATCAATAGTGACTGAGTTACTATTCTACACCATGCATTGCTGTACCTGTTCTGCAAGTGAATGCAAGTTGAGAGATTTCAACCCAGTTCCTCTCACCAACCTGTAAGTCATAGAATCATAGAAATTGAGTGCTGGAAGGGGCCTAGAAAGATCGAGACCACCCCCCTACCCTGGGCAGGAATACTGCTGAGATCAGATGATCCCAGCAAGGTGTCTGTCCAGTCTCCTCGTGAAGACTTCCAAGGTTGGGGACTGTACCACCTCCTTGGGAGGTCTGTTCCAGATTGTGGTCACCTTTACCATGAAGAAGTTTGTTCATTTGCTCAATCTCTCACACACTCCCCTCCTCCCACCACGGTACCCTAGCAAAGTCAGTACCAGCTAAGTCTCCTGGGCTTGGGTGTTCAGCTTGCGTGTGTGAATTGCAGGTCTGTGGCAGAAACCGGATTGAAATCTCAACTTGCATTCACTCGCAGAACAAGTACAGCAATGCATGGTATAGAATAGTAACTCATTTGCTATTGATTTGGGTTAGATGCAGACCAGTGTCAAAGAGACATCTAAGCTGTGACTTTCCTCTGCCTTCCTCTTTCCACTAGCTTGTTGCGTAGTACATCTTGCCTTAGGATCATAGCCATTTGGGGAGGGAAAAAATAAGAATAACTTTTTTTGGAGGTCCTGTAAGGACACAACTTTGACGTGTGGATGACCACAAATTATGCAAGTTATGTTTGTTGTGGTTGTAACACAGTCTTCACACTGGAGCCAGCTGTGGTGGTCAGCAGTATTTCAGAGCTGGCATTCACCAACATGGATTAAAGGGCTGGGCCTCCACAATCCCAATGTGTCTAGTTGTACTGGGGCATGATCTTGGCTCGTGTTCAATATGTCTGCAAAGGAGCCTTGGGGAGCTTTTCCAGCTATTGTTTTCCCAGCTTTCTAATGTCGCTTTCCATTCTGTCAGCATTTATACTTCATCCACTTCAGCTACCTTTTCAATCCCTTAGAACCACCATACAGAGCTGCTTCTATACCCATGCTTTGTATTTCAGGATAGGGGAAGAATAGAATGCAGTTGTTTTCAGAAGAGTCTGGAAACGAAGATAAAATGCTTGTTGGGTGATGGGAGCAGGCTGGGTTGGGGTTGCATCTTGTGTTCATGCACTAGGCTCTATGGTGTATGAAGTTCACGTGTCACATTTGCCTAGTTTTAGATCTTTGTAGCCTCATTGGGAAGCTGGATGCTTCCCTGTATTGTCCATGTGTTACAGGAACCTAAAGTGAATTTCCCTCAAACACAAAAACTATTGTCAAGAGGCTTGGCAATGAACACTCTAAGCTGTGGCTCCCTCTGCTTGCATGCCTTCCTTACTCCTCTTTTCTCAGGTTTTTTAGCTGTGTGTAAACCACATTGTTAATCTGTTCTCCCTCAAAGGTTTCTTTAATGCAAAGAATCTCTCTTCTTTCCCAGTTGCTGTACAGCTTGAAAAGGAGCCCAGCTTTTCTTCAGATCATCTTTTAAACGTGGAATAAATCAGACTTTGCATTTGAGTTCTGTTTTGTTTTCCAGTGAGAAACCTGCCAAAGATCACAAACCCACAGACACCAAACAGCAGTTGTCCAGCTGAGTTTGCTTGTGTGTCATAGCAAAACTGTCTTTATGCTGTAAACCTATTACCAGGGTGGAAAAAAGGGTGACTTGCCTCATGGCCATCTGTCTTGTTGGTAAGCAGTGGAGACTATTTTGGGTTTAACCAGTGGACTTCCAACTGGTTAAGTAACTTGAGCTACTTGTAAACTTTGCCATTCTATGTGGCTTCTGTTCACTGCTATCTTGGCTAAAATCAGCTCAGCATTCTTGGCTTCTCAGTGCAGTAGTTGGTAAGTGCAGAGAATTAGTACATGTGAGGAATCAACCTGAAATTTTTAGTACTTTCCCATGCTGCAAAGGAACCTGCAAGCTCTAAATAAAGTAGTGCTCACTGTGGTGTGCTAGCAAATGGAGCATCCAACCCCGAGTAAGCATGGGAATTGAGAGCTGGGACTTCCAGTGGCTTGACTCTGTCAGGCTGAGCGTGATGCATCCACCAGTCTCTGACCCCAGGTTACTAATGTGCCTGTCTCTAGATGGCGGCCGAGGAACTTTTGTCATGAGCTCAATCCAGATTCACTATGCATATGTAATGTCACAGGCTGTGTGTAGGGCTTTTGTGTTTAATGCTTTGAAGGAAGTGGACCAGATATGAAGGACTTGTAAGAAATTGACCCAACAAGGTATCTTTTTTTTAGGCAGGTGCTGCAGTTTGGCAGTTGTTTAAATGAGGAGGATGGGTGTAATAAGCAAATGAGGATCTAGGGCAGGACCTGAGTTTGTGTAATAACCTTGTGAAAATTAGGGCTAACCCCCTTCATAATGGTCACTCCTTACCTCAAAGGAAGCCACAGTATGTTACAAGCTGCACAATGTGGGGCTGTACAAACTACTCTGGCTCCATCAAAATGTGGACTCCCCTGTCTTGGAACGTAGCTACTTGGCAAGTGGTAAACTGTGCAGTGGTGTGAAAGAGAGAAAGCAGGCTGCTTGGAGAACTTCCCTGAACAGACTAGATCAAGTGTGCCCATCTTCCGAGCGGTTGGGGGCTGCAGGTGCAGCTCCCCTGCCTGGCCCTGATTGCATGCCATGTGTGCTTCATGGTTTGCCACACTGCACACTGGTGTGGAGGGCACTCCTCCCCCTGCTTTGAGCTGTGTTGGCATTCACCCCTCACCCCTTCACCATGTCATGCAGAATCTGTAAGTCCTATGGCTTCATGCTCCCTCAGCTCCAGGGGCAGGAGGTAGAGAGTGGAGGGGGGGCCTGGAAACTGGCAGCTGCTAGAGTGCTGGGGAGAGAAGCACCCAGGTTGTACCTTAACCCCTTGGTGGCTGCCAGTTGGACAGCCCTGGATTCGGTGATCTAGAAATAACACTTCCAAAATCATCAGCCGACTGAAACAAGCATGTTCCTCCCATTTTTAGTCAGTAGTATGCTGATATGGCTCCTCTCTACAAAGAAACAGCTTTTGTGTAGCTGAGTGGACCCCTGTTGCTTATTGGCACAGGTGATTTCAAGGCATGTCTTTAGCATCAAGGAATTTCCACATTTGTTATTGATGGATTAATTTATGCTCCTTTTAATAAAGATAAGTGGGTGGCTGTCAGAGGGTAGGAGGCTGGTATTTGGCACAATATTAAGGCAACAGCAGTGTCCTTGAGTGCATACAAAAGACACTCTTTTTCTCAAGGAGCTTAGAATAATGCAAGCTGCTCAGTAAATAAATATAAAGCAGGTGTTGGCAGCAGTTGAATGTAAATCTTTTCCCACTTCTTGAACCCTTAACTGTACCCCTTCAAATTAGTTTAATAATGCCGAAGGGGTGCAGTTAAGGGTTGTCATGGTTGCTTGCTGGAAGCGATGAAAGGTGCTTTGGTTTTTTTCTGGTTGAGGCAGGAGAAGGTCAAAGGGAAGGGGAGAAATAACTTAAAACATCATAGGAAGTTTTACACTTTAAGGGTGCCTATAGATGTGCTCTTTCACATTCTAATTGGAATGCTTTGGAGCAGACTTGATTAATTGAGTCTGCTCCATATTCTAATTAAAATGCTCCAGCATCTCCTCACTGTCATGTGTATTAAGCCCCCATGTGTTTCAGACTGTCCATGGGGGGGTGCTTTATTTAAACCTCATTGAATGAGCTTTAGATAAAGCATCGTGTGGCCATTTTGAAATGCTGCGGGGCTTAATACGTATGACGGTGAACTGTTTTAAAGTGTCTGGTGTCTGTTCAGAAACCTTGTTAAGACAGCCACCCCCACCCTGAGCACATGTATAGGCAGCCTAAATGTTTGCAATTGTGTTTGCCTCCTGGTAGCATATCTTGCAATTGAGAGGTGGCACGAAATGCTCTTCGTAGTTCTTGCAGCCTACTGCCATGTTGATTGTATTTCTGGCCCGTTTTAATGTTTCTGCTGGGTTCAGTTTAAATGTTAACAGTATGGGACACGAAACCTCAGATTAGAGCAAAGCTATGCGCACACATTTTCTGTATGCTTTGCAGCAGTGCTTCAAGGTAGGTACATTTAACTCTGAAGTGCTTTTGTAATGCAGTTGCTCTTTGGGGAAAATTCTTCATTGTAAACAGAAACAAGAGCTAGACTAGGGAGACCAGCCAGGAAGGCTTAAATGATCTATAAGCAGTAGCATTAGAAAAGTATGCATTATTTAAGTAAAGCCTGGCTTTTCCCTACAGTGATGTTAACTGGAGCCTCTGCCTCTTTTCCAGTGGGTACTTGCTTGTGCCAATGGTGAGATTTGTAAGATAAATCATAGAAAGGAAGGAGTAACCAGTCAGCCAGATTCAGATGCATCAAAAGTGTTTTGTGGGGAAAACTGCACAGTGTCTGCCTCTGTATGGGGCTAGAGCTAGTCACTCAGCATCACGGTCATCAAACATGGATAATGGCTGAACATCTTTATCACTTGTGACCTGGCTTTCAGCCTGTCTGCTTTCTTGTTTAGGGTCATCCAGTAGCCGTCATCCAAACCAGGTGACTCCCAAGAAGAGTGGCCTGAAGAACGGGCAGATGAAGAGCAAAGACGATGAGTGTTTTGGGGATGACATTGAAGAACTCCCTGACACCGACTTTGATTTTGAAGGGAATCTGGCACTTTTTGACAAGGCAGCCGTGTTTGAGGAAATCGACACATATGAAAGGAGAAGTGGCACTCGCTCTCGCGGCACCCCAAATGAGAAGCCAGCTCGCTACCGGCATGATGAGAATATCCTGGAATCAGAGCCCATTGTCTACAGACGGATCATCGTACCCCAAAACAATAGCAAAGAGTTCTGCACTGGTATGATGTTCCTCTTTAATGATGGGGACCCATTGCTTCTCCAAGAGATAAGTGGGAGGTGTTCCTGGTGTGGGGGAGGGGATAATCTATCAGCTTGGTATAATACAAATGTCGTCATTCATTTATGTAACATTGGTTCTATCATTTATCCAACCCTTTATCTTCTAAATGTCAGAGGTCAGAAGCAGTCTGATAACCAGGGGCAACTGATTAAGCAGGGAAAGGGGAGTTGAATCTTAACAGGGAAAAGTTGTGAACTGTCAGAATAAGTCCATGGGATTTAAGACCTTCAAATCATGCTGTTGCTTTCTGCAGTTGAGAGAGTCTGTGTGGACTTGGTCCCTTGGCTTCCAAGAGCAGGAATTCCTCAGGATTTCAATACATGCTAGTATGCTGGTAAATGTGCTGTGTTACAAGGCAGAAAAATTCTTGAGCTTTTGTGTGTTTTGCCTGCTTTGAATAGCAACTGTCAATGAAGCTGCTTATATACTCTCTTGTTTAAAAGGAGCACTTGAAATGTAGCTATTATAAAATGCTGAGCTGAGAACAGTTTCGAGTCCCATGTACTCTTCAGAGTGATCACATCCAAATATGGTGTTACGTTTTCTCTTCCCTGCCTCCATTACGTTTAATATACATTAAAAAAACCCCAGGAAACTGCATGCATGGTGCACAAAGATTGTACATTTGCAGACTTTTGGGAGCATTTTTTACCTCTTTTACAGTAATATAGGTGTTAGAAATGTTCATCTGAAAGTTTCACCCACTCAAGTTGCCAGCCTACCTTTAACTTGAAGCCTTCTGGTAAATACTGTGGGCAAATAGTAAGTCTATAAACAGTTGTTAACAGTGTATCTCCATACCATCTGCAGCTGTCTTGTAGTTTCTAGTCATGAGTAAAGTTTTATTAGCACTCAAGTTTTTATTAGTCCAAGCTTTCTTCAACATACAATTCCAATACAAAGCTGGTGCCTTTCCTAACATGCAGCAGTGTGTCAAACTGAGGTA